GGTACTGTGAGAGAAAATAGAACAAAGAAATGCCTACTATTATCTGTCAAGGACATGAAAAAGAAAAACCTAACAGAATTTGACCACCGATTCGATACAACCAATCACACTTTGTTTATGTAATGGCTTGATAACAGTGTTTGTACTATGGGAATAAATTACGACTTTGTTTATCCTCTGGGCAAGGTAAGAAGAATCTGAGATGTCGACATTATTTTTGTCTTCCAGAACTACAACAAAGGCATGGTCGGAGTTGATCAAACTGACCAGTCAATCGCAATAAAAAAGGTTGTTTTGAAAAATACCACACATAAACCCATTGGCCCCATTTGAGGACGGCTTTTTTTTATACATAAGGAAGTTTTCGTATTTTTGTTTTTTTTGTAATAAAATGTCTTAATGGCCTCCAATAGCTATGTTAATAGTTTTTTACAAAAAAAGTCTTGCTGTTTATAATTGAGTTGAAATGGGTTAAGTCGACCCTATGTACCTTTAGCTTTAAGATGTTACATTCAAGCTTTTAAATAATTAAAATATTTAAGGCAGGGACTAACACAGCATTGTAAATATCTATACGTTCCTTTTTTGACACATTCTGACTTGAGACAACGTGAATAGCTCCATTCACTCTATGACCTGCATTCCTTGTTATGTCTAAATACACATCCAAAATACACAAACTCACAAGCTCAACCCACTCCCTTTCTATTTCACGTATTGTTTTACATTCTTCTCTAAACTAATCACTTTCGTCTTATCTTCACTTCACAGTTTGTATAGCGTTTATGGATGCCAAACCAGTCCTCGTAGGCCCCGTTGATTCGGACACAAGTCCAAGAGTCCCTTCATTTACATTAGACCGATAAGAGATTTTAATGCCTGTCTCAGCCCAGCGCTTAACCCAAACTCGGTCAGCATTTGCCATAAAGCAAACCTGTCACAATGTCATAGGCTTTTCATGACTGCACTTATGTGAAACACTGTCAAATTCATGGTTTTCAAATTCATTCATCCATGCTGTTGATAAAAATTGGGTAAAAGGGTTCTCTTAAGCTGATATAAGAGAACAAAATCATCAATGATAATCTACATCAATTTTTATTAAAAATATTTTCTATAAATATTTTCTTTAAGTAATAGATGAAAAAAAGTCGATAAAATTTATCAGCTGTTTGCGAAAGAACAAGAATCATCATTGAATGTTATTACTTTATCAATTATCTTGTTGAGGCGTGAACGTATCTTGTGAAAAACTTTCCCAATATAAAACTTTGAACCGATATCTAGCTTCCCCAGGGAATTGGTAAGCTGAAAATAATACTGTCTATATTTTATACGAGCTAAACGAATAATTTATATGGGACCACCGCTTAAGTATAATCGTTCACAATTCACAAAGATATCTCGTTACATACCTACTTAAAAACAAAAAAAAATTGTACGTGGTAGAGCCATGCTGCAGCTATATTAATAGTATAGTTGTAGCACGAATGGGCCGGCTCGACCGGGGAAGGACCCCACTCTCACAGAATACCGGCGTAAAATAGCAGCTTAAGACTGCTGTGTTTCGTATGGTGAGTGTAGAGAACCGGAGACCCTTTTTACTGGAAAAGAGGCATTCCATCTTAGTCCTCACAGGTGACAATGCATCTGCATTTTGATTCTTTATTGAGGATAGATGTAGATGCCTATGGGTAACAACAACCACTTACCATCAGGTGGACGTTGTGCTCGTTTGTCACGCAATCCTATAAAAAACAATAGTCAAATTAAGAGGCTCCTTCTTTTTATAAAGTCGGGTAATAAGTTTTGCGATAGCAAAAACACAGTAATAATTGATGCCGAAGCAATTTATTTTTAAAAATACATGTGAATCTTTACGAGCGCAAATTAACGGACGTTTCGAGATTGGCTATAAATTTAGGGCGTTAGTACGTTTTAATCTGCCAACACATAATGCTACAGATTTATGGTCGCTCGCGTTTTAACAACCACATGCGGTTTTTATATGAGCATTGCCTTATGTGCTAATTTGACGAAATTGTGGATATAGTGCTTAAAAAATTTAGCTCAGATGGAGAATAAAGTATATTAGAATTATATGTCAATGGATTTTGAATCTACGACAGGTGTAACTTTGTTTTATTATTACACCGAAGACAATAATATATAAGACTAGTTGTAAGAAACGGGACGAATATACGACATTAGAAGAATTAATCTCTCATTTCCAAATCAGTCTAAGTCAGTTCTTTTCTATCTTCAGTTTAAACCTTTGTGATGTGTATAACCGATTGTAATAAATTAAAGCCTATACGAAGGCCTTACAGAACCAACAAAACCTCTAAATTGACATACACACTCTTATACTATCAAACGTGTAATAATTATATACTCGTAATTGTTTATTTTTTTTGTAATCGCATTCCCGAAAACGGCTCATACGACTTCAATTAAATCAACAATATAGGTGTTTACGGGAGCGAAAAACGGTATCATTTCTGTTTTATTACAACGGAATTAAAACAGTTCGAATGACAAGAACATATATAAAATGATGCAGTAAATCGGTAAGATCTTTTTAAAATGAATTTAAAGAATAATTATTATCAATTAGTACGCTCGCAGCAAGACCGCAAACTAACATTGAAGAATGTCACGGCGGAGACGCTTTGACTGACAAAATAATGCTTTTTACGAGGACGTTAAAATCTTACTCACGTTTGACCATAATTAACTACGCGTAACATGCAGTGGAAGGATGTATTAGCCTTTTGAGTTAATTTCGTACGTAATGTGCGTGATGAGCAACAAGTACCTTATCTTACCAAAACAAAATAATAAATCAATATAAGCAGACGAAGATTATATGAACTTTACCAAGAAAGATCATATAATTTTTCCGATACATTTAGAGAATATGTCAAAAATAATTCTAAAATGTTTAAAAGAGTCTGCTTCACAGATCACAAATCTTTACATACTGGCAACAAAATGAAGACTCGTAAAAATGAAATTAAAATGCCGTGGAGTATTATAATAGCGTAACCGGTAGACAAAGCTCGTAACACAAACTATCAAGTGAAAATTGATAATGAATTGACTAGATCAAATCAAAAGTCGCAGCGGTGTTTGAGAAATATTTCACAGATATTCCTATTTTGACAACAATACTTCACTGAATACTTCTCAAACTGTCGCCGAGTCTGTTCTCAAACAGAATGTTAATACCTGTTTAAAAGAATTTATTTTTGGAAAAGTATTACCACAAGATATTGTAAAATATTTCAAAACCCTTGATGTAAAGAAAACCGCAGATTTATGGAGGATTTCCGTTACAGTTATTGCGTCCATAATGGATTTAATTGCACCTCATTTTGCTATTATTTTAATGCTAGTATCGAATCTGGTGTGTTTTCTGATTTACGAAACATAGTAAAGTAATATCTTTATTTAAATCTGTCAGTACATTGGACCCCGCTAATTTTAGACCTATTCCTGTACTCCCAACTCTCAGTCATTTTTAAAAAAAAAGAGCAATTGTTAAATTTTTTAATAAAAATAAATTATTCCATAAAAACAATTTGGTTTCAAGCTTATGAAATATATTTTCAATGCCTGGGAGAATTCACAAGATGCCTTAGGTATTTTTTTGTGATCTTTCCAAGGCTTTGGATTGTGTTCATCGTGATATATTAATTAGAAAACTACAACATTAAAGTGTCAAAAATATTGCGCTTAGACTTATTATTTCATATTTAAATAACAGATCTCAAAAAGTGGTTTTCAAAGTTAAAAGATTTTTCAGTTCGTTAGAATCAATGGGCGTTTCTCAGGGCTCGATTCTTGGTCCATTCCTGTTCTTACATACATACATATAATCACGCCTCTTTCCCGTGGGGGTAGGCAGAGACCAGTTCTTTCCACTTGCTACGATCCTTGCATACTTGTTTTGCTTCGTCCACTTTCCTGTTCTTAATCTATATTAATAATGACTTGCCTTATCTTGTAGGCGATAATCACGATATAGGATTTGTAGCGGCGCTGTTGTCGCACCACAAGCAAAATACATCGAAGCCTAAATCGCGCTATCAAAGTTCCGAAGTTTAAACAGTATATATAGAATAGCTGCGAAATTTGCGTTGGCCGCTCCCCGGGCAGAACATCCTGCCCAGTGGGAGATTTCATCTTTTCCTTACACGTCCACATATTATTTGCTGATGAACCCCTTTATTGTTCAAACTCAAATGACAAACTTAAACAACAATAAGACAAAATGTGTTAAATTTACAATACCTAATGTTTAACAGTCAAATACCAAAGTGTTCTTAAATGGGGAGGAGTTGAGTCTTGTGGATACCACTGTTTTTCTTGGTATTACTATTGACGCGAAGTTTCAATGGGGCGCCTATATATCTAAATTAGCAGGCAGACTTACTTTTGCAGCATATGCTGTAAGAAACATTAGAAGTCTTACCAATGTTGAGACTGCTAGATAGATTAGTTTATTTTAGTTACTTTTATAGCGTGATGTCTTATGGAATTTTGCAATGGGATAATGCAGCTGACATTGAAGCCATATGTGTTTTGCAAAAGAGAGCGAGAGATACGGGCGATTTATAACTTAAATTGTAATGAGTCCCTTAGATAAAAATTTAAACAAATAAACATATTAACTTTGTCATCGTAATATATTTTTGAAACTGTAATGTGTGTGAATAAAGATGTTCATACTTTAAACACTAGGAACAAACATAAAGCGAATGCAAGATAAACAAAACAATAGTTGATACAAAATTTGAGAAGAAAATAATTAAGCACGTCTGAAATCTAATCATGTCTTAAATATATTGAAAAATATTTATGTACATTTATTACATTTTTAAATAATGACCATGCATTTCAAGCATAAATAAATAGTGACACATTCAATAATTGTTCTTTTATCATTTAAATTTAATTTTTAAATCTATTTAAAACGGAATATGATCAAAAAACCTTTATATTTTAATAATATTTACCTTCTTGAAGACGAAGGGTTCGTCCCCGTAGACGGGGTTGATGGCGTTGTTGGGCGCGACGCGCGTGCGGAACTTCTTGCGCACGGTGTCGGCGGGCAGGCCGAACATGTCCACCTCGACGTAGGTGCCGCAGCGCTTGTCCGTCAGCAGCTGCCCCGACAGCACCGTCACCGACAGCGACCCCGCGATGATGCCGTCCACCGTGCTCTCCGCGAACGGGTCCAGTCTGCGATCCTGCCGGACGCACACACCGTTCTAACAACCGTCGCTAAGTGCCTGCTTACCGTGTTGTAAGAGGCAACAGACGCAAACAAATCCCTAGTAATCCTAAGTATCCCTAATAACGACTAAAAATAAAAAAAAACTGCGGTTGCCAACCGCCTCGCCGAGCGTGGCCAATATTCCCTCTATGGGGCAATCTATGGGGAAGACCTTTGTTCAGCAGTGGACTTTAATAGGCTGTTTTTTAAATTTGATTATTTATTCATAAATGTTAAATTTCAAAATTTCACAGAACAATAGTTGTTGGTTTTAGGAATTGCGGTCACTTTACGGTAGCTTTTTAGAGTATTATTACATTACTCTAAATACTACGCAACGTATTATTAAATATGAAACTATGTTTATTCAAATTTATTTACACATTAAAACCAGTAAGCATGAAATTTCATTTGTTATAAAATAAAATTAACGTATTAAAACAGCGGCTTAAAACGTTATTCGTAAGTCTTAATCAAAGACATTATAAATTTTTACTCCTTTGAGCTCTTGACCACGCGACGAAATATTAAAATATTTTTTTTTCTAGTAAGACTTCAAAAAAAAATGTTATGTCAAAAATGTTTTAACTCATTGGATGTTATTGTTCTAGGGTTATGGTTCATTTACTATTATTTATTCTGTGGTTATGGTCCGAACTTGTTATAGTTTAATTTAGTTACATTATTATAGTTAAATTAGTTACATTTGACATTATTTTAATATCCATGCTTTTAGATGTACAATTTGTATGGAACTGCGCATCTTATCTAGTAATACATAAAACTATAAGTTTAAATATAAAACGATATTCATAAGAGGAAACAAGCTAAACTCCATTTGCAGTTACTTAAACTTTTTACTTTAAATATATAATTGTAAGTTTTCCAATACTGATTTTAGTTTAAGTTTGAAAAATGCTACTCACCTTCCGCCGCATAAATTCAGGTTTTAATATATAACCACACCGCCGATTGTACTCGAATGCGCCAAGATTCAGCTGCATCGCCAGATCCAGCGTCTGAAAGTTGAGCGCCACCAGCTGGCAACCCGCGTTCCAGAATACCTGATAAATTAAAAAAAAATGTAAATTGGATGGCAATATCCATGACCGCTATAGTCGTATATATATAATAACTAACTTAGTCTATCTTAGGTTCACTAACACTCATCGTTATACCCCGAAATATATTTTTCTTTCGGCTTTTGACTACTAAACTAAATAATCATTTATCGTAATTAAAAAAAAAATATCTTTCCTTGGGTACCTGTTTCGACATTAAAAGCCCAAACGCGAAACTTTGTGCGGCTTTCTAAATTCACTTTATGTTTTGCGTACGTACTCGAAACGTGCACGCATAAAATATAACAAAAGTACTGGAATAATATTCCACCTCCCGACAGAATCAAAGGATATACTCGAAATAAAGCAAGGTATGTACGATAAATGTGTTTCATAATAAGAGGGAACAAAGGATAGTCAAGCCTTGATAAAATGTCGTATTAATAAAATACAGGAAATACCCTTTCAATTAAGTGTATATATTTTATCTATATGAATAAAATGATACGAGTTTGTGGCACGTATCACGGAAAAACTACTGGATGGATTTTATTTTAAATTTGGAAATTTGAAGTTTTATTTCATAGACACTTGACTCTTATCTAAAAAAATATTGCGATATCTTCATTTAATATAAAGTTATTAAAGTTTTAAGAAACAAAGATTTTTATAGGCTATACGTGTTCAGTGACATATGTTTTCTTGCCGCGGAGAATTGGGGCAAATATATCAAGCAACGTAGACGAAGTCGCGGGTATTAGCTAATTAAATAATAATAATCCACGAAACCCGATTTTGATTACGGCTGAAGCTAGCCATCTGTGCACCACAGGATTATTGCGCGTGCACTATACAATAATCTCGTCGTGCACAGATGTGAGTATTTCGTGACAAAAAAACCCATAACTGATTTTCTGACCCGAACCGAGATTTGAACTTGGGACCTTATGAACAGCAATCGCGCTTACGACCACCAAACCAACGAGGCAGAAAAAAAATTATTTACTTATTTATGAGGTGGGATTGTAAAAAAGCATTGGCTTATCCCACCATACTATCAAGGTTATGTAACCCTAGATGACTAATCACTCTAACTTCGAGTAATGTTATTCAGTTATTCAGTCTTTCAGTCTTTCCGTGAAGACATCTATGCTGTTATCGGATGGAAAGACAGACGCAAGCGAACTTTTTCATTCCTTTGCAAGTATTATAAACGATAAAGGAACGATTTAGTTTGGATGTGTGAAATGTCAACACCAAAGGGGCGGTGACCCGCCGTTTATCCGTTTGCCTCGTTCGGCCACCCTGAATTGGCATTTAAGGTGTGCACTATTCAAAACACTCGCTGTCATAAGTATTTGTACCAGATCCAAATGAGAATTGACACACACAAAAACTTCACCAAAATCGGTCGAGCCGTTTTTGAGTTTTAGCGAGATTAACGGACAGCAATTGATTTTTATATATAGAGATTGTTTGCTATTAGGATCTCACAATGTTTTTTTATGGAATATGGTTGACAAACGAGCACACAGCCTACCTGATGGTAAGCGGTTGCTGTGGCCCATAGACATCGACATCTATCCTCGATTACGAATCAAAATGCAGATTCGTTGTCACCCGTTAGGATTAATATGGAATGAGTCGTTTCCAGTAAAAGGGTCTCCGGTTCTCTACACTCACCATACGAAACACAGCAGCGTTAAACAGCTATTTTACTCTGGTATTCTGTGAGAGCGTGGTCCGTCCCCTTTCGAGTCGACCCATTCGTGCTACAACTATACTTGGATATTAGGTGATAGGTAAAGATATTTTAATTCACCAATTCCAGGTTAAAGTAAACATTTTACCATCTATTGCCTCATTTATCCGCGTTAAAGGTAGTTAATATAAAGAAATAGGGATTATTTTTCTTCTAAAAAGTAGGGCGTAATTTTATAATAATTGACTTTTAAAGCTAAGAAAAATAATTTGTAAAATCAGTTACTAAAATTGAAAGTTTTTATAAAATTATATTCAAAAATTAAATACTTCGTAAGCAAAGTAAAACTTTTCACTGTATTTTAAATCAGAGAACCTTGTTAATGAGAATCTAAATATTAAACAAACTTATTTAATTTGAAAAAAAAAAGTTGTGAATCTGCAAAAAGTACCTACCAAATAACAATTATATGTTATGTATTAATGATGGGATCAACTTCTGAATTTACCTGAGGCATAAAATTTGAAGAATCGAAGCGCGTCCCCGCCGGATAGACTCGGGAGAGCTGGTGTTTGTTGTAGTTGACGAACTCTATGGGTCGTTCCTTCAACAGCGTGGTAGCCTGCTTCTCGTCGAACGAGGACATCTCGTAGAAGCGGTTCTTCTCTGCATATGAAAGAACAAAATGTAACAGCTACTCGTAACATAGCAATTCCTGAAATCTCTTACGTTGGTCTATTTCAATATTTTTTTATTGAACCGTGCAGGCAGGGCCTTGCTTTGTTGCATTACCATGCATGGGGAAGGCCTATGTTCAGCCAATCTTCTCAGACTTGTGAAGGGCTGTAATGATGATAATGATGATGATGATGATTAAAAATAATTAAGAGTAATTTATAGGTAAAAACTTATGGCATAATATACCGTAATTTAAGATATGTTTTTTATGGTATTTTCATTACCTATCTGCAAAAGGCCTCTTAAGCATTAATATTATATGTACCTTAGTCGACTTTAGATACCTATAAATATACGTGTTGGGGTATGTGCGTGTGCGTACTGCGTATACGTGTTGGAATGTGTGCGTGTGCGTACTGCGTATACGTGTTAGAGTGTGTGTATGTGCTCACTCTCGGCATTCTCGAAGGAGCTGAAGTGCACGGGCTGCACGTAGTTGACGAGCGCGGAGATCTCGGCCGCCGCGTGCGTCTCCGGCGCGACGCCGGGCGCCCCGCCCGCGGCGCCCTCGCCGGGCACATCGCCTTCCTCCTCGCCCGACGACGACTCGGATTCCGAAGATTCGGACGACTCCTTTGAACCCTGTCGTGTAAGCTGAAATAAATGCTAAGTCACGATCGGCGCATAGCGTCGCTAACTTATCATCATTAATTCATTTCAGCATCTAAAAGTCTATTTCCGGACATGGGCCTCCTCCACAGAATACCTCGATTGCCTAGATTGCCTCATATTGGTCATGGCTTGCCAAGTTTAGCAAACGTGATGACAACCGCAATTGTTATTATTTTGAGTTATTATCAGGAAGATGCTGCAGCCCATTTTCTGTTTGATTTCTATGTGTCGCCTCTTACTATATGCCTACGGGATGACATGCCTGTTTCTAGGACAAGCGAAAATACGGTCAATGATATCCATTGGATTCTAGGTTATCTGAATCTTACAAAATACATTTCAAACATTAATAGCCAGAAAGGTCAGCTTTTATTTTTGTGAGTTAGTTTAAAACGTGCCGTATGCCATCTCATTAAATAATACTATAAACGTTATTTACGAAAATTAAGCTCATCATCCTCGTACAAATACAGAGGAATATTGACCGTAAATGAAAAGCATTTCTAGTTTAAACAAAAATATTAGTTTAGGCAAAATAAACCAGAAATCACGAAGTAAAATACATATGGATAAAAGGCCGCTACCTAACGTATAAAAACTTGTTAAAATACCGGTCCATGCGCTATTTCGCCGTTTCCTTGCGAGGGTGCTTGTTCGCGTGCCTCAAAGTCTTCAGATCCCACCGAGCCTTCCTTCTTATGGTGGTGGTGATGCTTTTTCTTGTTCTTAATTATTATCTTATGGCGAAGCAGTGATGGTGGCGGGAGTTCCCCTCCTGTGGACAATAAGGCCTAGGATTTCAAATTCGTATTGTTATTTCAGACTTCCTAACCACATCGACGATGTTCGACGTTCGAAAGTACAGATAGCGTAATTAAGTAATTTAAAGTTTTTTGCACAAAAATAGTACACATGGCAACTTTAATGCCTAAGGGCATTCTCTCCTAGCCAACCATTAGGTTGAGCAGACTTAATCATGTAGGATTTATGTATAGATTTTTAATGGGAGCTGATTCCTGGCCAGGATGCAACGAATTTATCGCGTTGATTTAAATTCGACTAAATCCCGAAGTTTATGTACTTAAATAAATTGACGACGGTACAGTCTTCATCATCATTACAGCCTTTCATAAGTCCACTGCTGAACATAGGCCTCCCCCAAGGAATGCCACAAAGCACGATCCTGAGCCACCTGCATCCATCGACTTCCTGCATGTCTTACCAGGTCGTCACTCCATCTAGTTGGGATCGCCCTACACTTCGCCTACCGGTACGAAGCTGCCACTCGAGAACCTTTCTTCCCCATCGGTTGTCGGTTCTTCGAGCTAGGTATATGGCCGGCCCACTGCCACTTCAGCTTACTAATCTGTTGGGCTATGCCGGTTACTCTGGTTCTACTGCAGATATCCTTATTTCTAAGTTTATCACGCAGATAAACCCTGAGCATAGCCCTCTCCATAGTTCGCTGAGCGACCTTGAGCTTCCTCATACGGCCAGCAGTAAAGGACCACGTCTCAGATCCGTAAGTCATCACTGGCAACACGCACTGGTTGTACAATTTCGATTTCAGGTTTTGAGGTATGTCTAACGAGAAGATGTGTCGTAGTTTCCCGAACGCTGCACAGCCGAGTTGAATCCGTCGATTGACCTCTCGGTCAAAGTTGGGCTTACCAAGTCGGACTATTTGTCCTAGGTAAACATACTCGTCAACAACTTCGAGCTTAGTGCTCCCAACAACTACCAGCATAGGTGTGACATGGACGTTAAACATGATTTTTGTTTTGTCCATGTTCATCTTAAGACCTATCCGATGGGAGACACTATTGAGGTCATTGAGCATAGTGCTTAGGTCCTCCAGCGATTCTGCCATAAGGACTATATCGTTGGCAAATCGAAGGTGAGTGATGTACTCGCCATTGATGTTAATACCGCATCCTTTGCAGTCCAATAGCTTGACAACGTCTTCCAATGCAGCGGTGAAGAGTTTCGGGGATATAACCTCACCCTGTCTTACACCTCTCTGCATTTGGATAGGTTTCGTACTCTGATTCTGTACTCGGATAGCCATCGTAGCTCTACTGTACAAACACTTTAGCACTTCGATATACCGACAGTCAACTTGGCACCGCTGAAGAGACTGCAGCACCGCCCAAATTTCGTCGGAATCAAAGGCTTTCTCATAGTCCACATACGCAAGGCAAAGTGGCAGATTGTACTCCTCTGTCTTCTGTACAATCTGCCGCAGGGTGTGTAAGTGGTCTATGGTATTAAAGCTTTTTCGGAAACCGGCTTGTTCAGGAGGCTGGAAGTCATCAAGTCTGCGTGCGAAACGATTCGTAATGACTCTCGACGGTCTGAAGTTCTTCAAGGGAACGTTGTCGCCTTTCTTGAAAAACAAGACCACCGCACTTCTGCTCCACGCCTCCGGAGAAGTGCCACCATGGAAGACAGAATTAAAGAGCTTCTGAAGGACTTCACGTACCAGTTTTCCACCCGCTTTCAAAAGCTCCGCTGTAATTCCATCCTCACCCGGGGACTTGCCATTTTTAAGGTGCTGAAGAGCCATTCTAATCTCGCTCAGACTGACGTCCGGGATATCTTCGGAATAGTGTCACATAAGACTTGCTCTTGGATCGTTACTCGCACTTGCGTATGGCTTCAATGATGACGTGTACAGCTGCCCATAGAACCTCTCAATCTCACTCAAAATCTCAGGTGTCCCAGAAACGATGCTGCCACACTCGGTTTTCAGCTCTGACAGTTAGCTCTTTCTGGCAGGCAAATCTCTGGCAAAGACTTTGGAGCCTTGGTTCCGCTCGATCGCTTCTTCAATACAAGCTGTATTGAAGTTGCGTAAGTCCCGCCGAATGCATTTGGAGATCTGTCTGTTCAGTTGCCTGTATGCTGTCAAATCTGTTGAAGAATATAACTTCATCTCCCGTGTAACAGCCATGAGATTAAGAGTGTGATCGGAGAGTTTTTTGTTCTTCTGCGACAGGTCTTGCAGAACTTAGCTCTGACCGCATGGACAGTTTCCACTAGCTTGTCATTCATATCGTCCACTTCATTGCAGTCTTCTAAGCACTGAAAACGATTTTGTAACTCGAGCTGAATGGTTTCAGGACTTTGGAACAGAACACGAGGGGGATGGAGCGTTGAGTCCTTTAGACGAGACCTCTCCAACTTAACGTTTAGGTTCAGTGTGCCTCTAACCATTCGGTGATCGCTATCAGTTTTCACCCTCGCGATCACGGAGACATCAATGAACAGTTGTTGTCTGGTCGTCATAATGAAGTCAATCTCATTTTTTGTCGAACCGTTCGACCTCTCGGCTCGACCAGGTCCACTTCCTGTGGGGCCGCTTCTGGAAAACAGAGTTCATCATAAAGAGTCCCTCTTTCTCCATGAAGTCGGCCAGCTGCTGGCCCCTTGGGTTCCTTTGCCCTATTCCAAATTTCCCTACTTTAAGCTCACCGTCCTCTCTTGTGCCAAGTTTTGCATTAAAGTCTCCCATTAACACCGTATAGGGTTTTGGAGGAATGCATGGGTCTAGAGATATTCTCATACATTTCCTCCACCTCCTCATCGGGATGTGTTGAGGTTGGTGCGTAAACCTGTATGACCTTCAGCAAATACCGTTTGGTGCTTCTGAGTATAAGGTACGCTACCCTCGTCGACACACTCTCAATCTTTACAACGTTGTTAACGAGAGACTTGTGGACAATAAATCCGACACCTCCTTGGGACAGATGGTCGCCCTCCCGGTGATAGAGCAAGTTGCCGGATTCGAGGATTACCGTATCCTTCCCCTCTCTTCGGACTTCGGATAATCCTATAATATGCCAGCGTAACTTGTTTATCTCTTCTTCCAGCTCCACGATCTTCTCGTCAGTCCTCAGGGTGCATGCGTTGTATGTTGCCAGGTCGAGTCGTCTTAGGTGGCAACCGAACCTCCACCAGAGATTCTTAGCTCCCCTGCCCCGCCATTACCATGGTCGCCACCGTAGCCAGGAATAGCGGGGCCGCCGGGGACTGGGGGCCCTCTCTTTGTTACTCTCATCATTGGGGGGTATTTGCCATAGTTGCCACGCTTGGCGAACGGGTTGGCAACCGCAGTTTTATTATTGTAATTTTGCTGTTATCAGGAAGATGCTACTGCCCATCTCCTGCCTGTTTCCCTTTGTTGCCTTTTACGACATCCACTGGAAGATATGGGGTAGTGGATATTCTTAGCCGCCACTACACGGCATAAGTACAGTCTTAATGACAGTTAATTTTGCAAATATATTATTAATTTATTAGGTTTCATTTTTACTGTCAGTAGTTTTCAAATAAACTGGGATAACACGCAACTAATTTTGAGTTATTAATTTTAACTATCAGATTTAGTAAACAATGACTTAAGTTTTTATAAATTTTATAGAAATAAGTTTATAATAAGAGTTTTTATAAATACTTATAGAAATAATTTTCAAATAAATAAGTAAGGGAATAAACATCTAAGATAATATTAAATTTTTACAGAACAAATAACGTCATTTTATCATATTCAATGAATAATAATTTCGATATGGATATCCGTTCTGATACTTTGAACCCGTATTTCCGGATATCGAATATAACCACATTTTTGGTCGAATATTCTCCTGAATCGTGTTTGAAATTCAAACGGATCATATAATATTGCACAAAGAGCGAAAGCGAAGAGGTAGTACTCTTTTGTTAATTCGAATATTTATTGATATAAAATGCTTTATTCTGACATACGTGTTCATTCATTATTTAATGAACACATAAGTCAGAATAAAGCATTATACGATTATACGTGGTAGAGCCATGCTGCAGCTAAATTATGGTTGTAGCAAGAATGGGTCGGCTCGACCGGGGAAGGACCACGTTCTCACAGAATACCAGCGTAAAATAGCAGCTTAACGCTGCTGTGTTTCGTATGGTGAGTGTAGAGAACGTTTTTCTGGAAACGAGGCATTCCATCTTAGTCCTCACGGGTGACAACGCATCTGCATTTTGATTCTTAATCGAAGATAGATGTAGATGTCTATGGGCCACAGCAAGCACTTACCATCAGGTGGACTGTGTGCTCGTTTGTCGCCCTAATCCTATAAAAAAAAATTAATTACAAGTCTACAATTGAACATAGCCCTCACGAAAGGCCGAAAAAGTAAAATGTAAACAAAACAAAATATATTTACAGATTGTGACAAATAATTTTTCATTATTTTCCCCGGCGTTTATGCCACGTAATACGTAGAATATATGCCTTCAAAGCTTTAATTTAGGTATATTCAAATCGATGCGCCTTCGCTCTTTATATAACCCTTGTGTTTAAAAAGTTAATAAACATCAATAAAATCATCATATAAAATGTGACAACTCCTTCGATACCAAAGTACGTTCGTAACAAGCACTTTTATTGTATTTGTTAATTATTCAAGTTCGAATAAAAACAGCTCCGCTGAAATCGTGAACGCATCACGCAGTTTATGTGACAGTAAGAATGACAATAAAACCGCGGAAAATACCGTGAGGAGACGATCCGGGCGCAGTTTAACAATGTAACGGGGAACTATAAAACCGAGGCCCTGTTGAAGCAACAAACGTAGAGTTTTGTGCATCTAAATTTAAAGTAAACTGTCAAAAAAATATTACAAACATGATACTCGTAGGAGTTTTTCGTGATTTTTAGTCAGTGAACGCAAAACTCATGGAAGCATTCCCAGCTCTAAAAATGACCTGTAAATTGTGCTGCGGCAGGCG